AGAGGGAGAGATAGAAACATCCATGATAAGAGAGAATCATTGATCAACTGGCTGCCTCCTGCATACCCCCCACTGGGGGTTGAGTCCACAACCCTGGCATGTGCCCTGACTGGAATCAAACGGTGACCTCGTGGTTCATAGGTGGACACTCAAACACTGAGCCACACTGGTGGGGCTCCAATAAATACTTTTAAAATAAATTTGGTAGGAAGTTTTAATGTATGAGGGATTTGCAGGGAGTTGAAAAAGATGGCCTCCAAAGTCCTTTACAATTTTCAGATTTTGAGGATATCAGTCTCTTCCATGGTTTTGATTTTTACATCTATTCATGAGTTTTCCCCCATAACTTCAAGGCATTCCTCATCCTAAGCTTTAGACCAAAATGTCCACCTGACTGCTCCATAGCTTCACATTAGCAGACAGGACATCTCAAATTTAGTATGTCCAAAATTAACTCATTTCCCCACACAACCAGCTCCGCCTTTCCAGTGCTCTGTATTTATTAATGACACCATACTCCTTAGGAGCCCATGTGGAATACATCCAGGATGGCACTTCTCCCATCTCTAAAACCAATCACTTCCTAGTCCGGTGGATTCAGCTTTCCCAAAACCCAGTTCTTTTTGTGACACTATCCTGACAGTCTCCATCAAATTGTTTGTGACTCTAATTAGCACTTATTTTATTCTGACTTTCACGATGTATTTCCATCTCTGTCCCAACACGAGATCCTGGAATATGTCCGTGTAACAGGGTGCAACTCCTACAACTCATACCACAGGTTTTGCAGGTGTTCAAGTCTAGCGGGGCTGAATGAATGTCAGCATGCTAGGTTTAAATTACTTTGGCGGCATGAATCTTGTTATATCCTTTTTTTGTTTCCCCCCTAATATAATATAGTAAAAGGCATTGGAAACAGGGTACATTCATCTGTTACTGTCCCTGGGAGTGGCCGCAACAATTGGCAGTAGCTATTATTTAAAAAAACAAAACAAAACGCTGTTTTTTATACAAGAAAGAAATGGAAAGAAAGAAAGATCCTTTAGACGCAGCTCCCAGCTAAAAGCATCCAGAATCCAGGTTTCCCACCCCTTCCAGTGGCCTGATGTGCGGCGAGGGAGGAGCAAGGAGCAGGCACAGCCTGAGGAGCTGGGAGAGCGGGATGGGGGAAGTCCCGGAAGTCATTGACCGGAGCAGACGGCCGCCTCAGCGGGATCTGCTTGGGCTGAGGTCCCAACAATAACAAATCTCAGGGTCTGGCGGGGGCCGCCGGGGGCCGGAGCTTGGGGGGCGGAACCCAGATTGGGGGAGGCGGGTGGGACGCTTCCCAAGGCCTCAGGGGATTGGAGGAGAGAGCTGCGAGGCGGTGGAGCTCGAGTAGTGGGTAGCGGAGCTCACTGGTCGATTGAGGGGAGAGCGCGTTGATTGGGTGGCGCGGGGGAGACGGACCGGAGCTAACGGCGGATTGGCCGAGGCGGCCGAGGAGGCGTGGCCAGAGCGCGCTGGAGGGAGCGCGAGGGCTCTGTGGCCGGCCTGCCTGCCAGCTAGCCGGGGCGGCGGGAGAGCGCGGCAAGCGGGGCGCAGGGTTGAGGAACGCGGCGCGGGAGTGCGGGAGGCTCGCCGCCCAGCTCCGTCGCTGTCGTTCTCCGCGCCTCCAGCACTCGCTTCCTTCCCTTCCCTCCCCTGCATCCCGGCCTGGGGTCTCGGGTGGGGAACGGAGGGAAGGGACCTGAGAGGAAGCGAAAGCGGAGTGAGGGGCGGAGGGGGTCCCGGCGCGGAGCAAGGCGCGCGCCGCTGCTTGTTCTCTCTCCGCAGCCGCCGCCTCCTTGCCGGGTGGGTGCCGCGGCCCCGGGCGCGCGGGACTCCCGGGGCGCCCGCACTATGCAGGCGGACCGCCGGCCGCCGCGATGGCGAGCCGGACGGTGGTGAGAGCCGGGCGCAGCCCGTACCAACCCCGAGTCCGGGCCGCGGCCGCCGCCCCCGCAGGGGCCGCGCTCCCCCACTCCCATTCCTCCCCGCTCCCGCCCCGCGCCAGCTCCTCCTCCTCCCCTATGCCTCTGTTCCTTCTGCTCTTACTGGTCCTGCTCCTGCTGCTCGAGGACGCGGGAGCCCAGCAAGGTGAGTGGTTCCCGGGGAAGGCGCGGTGCGTGGAGCCCCCCGGGCGGCGGGGGCGCGGGGAGAGCCTGCGGGGCGCCAGGGCTGCGGGCCCTGAGCCGAGTCGGCCACACGCCGGGAAGGTGCGGGGTGCCTTCCGCGCGTGGGCAGACCGGGGCCGGCGCTCGCCAGGCTGAGTGGCAAAGCTAGGATCAGCCTGTTGTCCCCCCAGCGTGGCGCGGCTGTACTTTTTTTTGGCGAGGCCATTCATTTTCCTGAAAAGAGGGGAGCGAGACCCTGCTATCAAGGCCGCCTTTTTGGTATTGGATTATTTTTTAGGGAAAATCTTTGGGGGAGGAAAAAGATGTACTGGAGACGTGACGCCTAAAGTTAAGCTAAAATTGCTAAATGGATGAGTAGACAGTAGAAAGGCAAGGTAATTAAATAGCACCTTCAACCTATTAAAGGCAAGTGGCGGTAACTACTATCTTCTGTGGAAGTTCTCAGGTTCAACAGCGAATGAAATTAATCCTGGTTATCTTTGAGTCTTGGGTTTAGGAAGTGTACTTGACAGTCCCTGGTGATTAGTCTGGATGGTGGTCTAGATTCTAGAGTCTAGATTGCCTGGGTCCGACGCTGGCTCTGACCCAATGCAGCTTCCTATGTTACCTCAGTGGGACTTGCCACGTTAAAAGGGTAAGATGGTCCAGAAAGGGACAAAACTTTTTTTTCTGTCTACAACCCTTGGAAAACCTATGGAAGAAGCAAGCAAAATTGTTTATTGAATAATCACTGTGATGGAAAGAGAATGCAGAGCTGATGCACCCTCCACCCTTTTTGTACTCTTTCAGGCGGTGAACCGTAATTTTTGAATCCGTTTGGCATCATTATTGAACATATTTTCCATTGCATTTCCCAGTGAGCAGGATTGTTACTTATTTCTGGGAAGGTTATTATTTAATTGATCTCCACGTTTAAGTCCAGCTTACTGTTGCTCTCATAGGGTTTTCAGTAAAGTATGGAATCTTGGCCGTAAGCCTGTCGTGAGGATGCTGAGACTTTGACAGGCACATGGGGATATAATATCTCTAACTGTAAGGGAAAAAAAAACATATTTGGTAAACGGACCTCTTTTAGATTTAGGCAGTTCTATGCAATGTAGATGCTTAGCATTCAGGTTTTAGATGATCTTCAGTAAATTTTTGAACATTGGCCCTTAATAAGTTAGAGTGTGAAATCCTTCTTTTCATTGAAGTCCTAGAGCCTGTGCTTGTATTTTCCTCCTAGTAGGGAAAAACGCACACAACAAAAACAGGCTTATATATGGCTGACACTTACTGGGGCTTACTTGGTGGCAGGCACAGTACCAAGTGGTTTACATGTATTAACTCAGTCCTCACCACAAACGTTTGAGATAGATATTGTTATCCCATTTCAAACATAGGAAACAGACCAAAAAAATGTAAGGTACCTTGGTATAGAAAGGAATATAACTACCTAAGCAGAATGCTCTGTTTTGCTTATTTCCAAATCAAAGTGTTTATATCATGTTTTTTTAAAAAAAATATTTGAACAATGTAGAATGTTACGTGTCTCCCCCCAAATGAGACAATTGCCTTGGTTTTTAGAATTTCACAAGCCTGATCTAATTAAACATGCAACATTACATTTTAAACAATATTTTATTTCAGTTCTGACCATTATTTTAACTAATAATGTGTTTTTCACAGTGTTATCTTTTTTTAAAACATGTTTTTATTGATTTCAGGGAGAGAGAGAGAGAAACATCAATGATGACAGTCATTGATTGGCTGCCTCCTGCACACCCCCTACTGGGGATTGAGCCTGCAACCCAGTAATGGGCCTGCAACCTGGAATGGAACTGTGATCACCTGGTTCATAGGTCTATGCACAACCACTGAACCACATCGGCTGGGCTCACAGTATTATCCTACATAATAAAAGGCTGATATGCAAATTGTCCCCTCAGGAGTTCGACTGGGAGACCAGGAGTTCTATCACTCGCTATGATGTGTGCTGACTACCATGGGGTGGCGTGGAAAATGGCGGGGCGACCAGCAGAGGTGGCAGGGTGCTGAGGGAGCAAGGGAAGGAAGAGGAGGAGAGGCTGGGAGGCGGGGAACTGCATGGTAACAGCATGGGCAGCGAGGGAAGGAGGAGGCAGGGAACTGATTGGCCCTGATGGCCAGCCAGGCCTAGGGACCCTACCCGTCCACGAATTTCGTGCACCGGGCCTCTAGTCCTATATAATAAAACCCTAATATGCAAATCGACCAAATGACGGAACTGGTCACTACGATGCACAATGACCACCAAGGGGCAGACGCTCAACGCAGGAGCTGCCCCCTGGTGGTCAGTGCACTCCCACAGGGGGAGCGCTGCTCAGCCAGAAGCTGAGCTTATGGCTGGCAAGTGCAGCGGCGGTAGCAGGAGCCTCTCCCGCCTCTGGTGCAGGCAGGTGGTAAGGAGCAAGGGGTCCCGGGCTGCAAGAGGGATGTCTGATTGCTGGCTTAGGCCCAGGGATTGGGCCTAAGCAGGCAGGCAGACATTCCCTGAAGGGGTCCTGGACTGCGAGAGGGCGCAGGCTGGGGCTGAGGGACACCCCCCCCCCCCCTCAGTGCACAGATGTGTACCGGGCCTCTAGTCTTATATAAACACCAATGTAAATTAAACTCAAATAGAAATGATGTTGATAATTTAAAAGACCTAATTTCTAGTTCTTCAAAATTGATTGGGTAAATATTAAGTCATATCTTATGGTTGATAGGAGAATACATACCTTTTTTTCCTTTTTTAATAATTTTATTTTTCAATTACAGTTGACATTCAATATTATTTTGTATTAGCTTCAGGTGCACAGCATAGTGATTAGACACTTTTGTCCTTTACAAAGTGATTTTTCTGCCTCCCATCCCATATTTCCAGTGCCCTACCTGCCACCATATATAGTTATTACAATATTTTTGACTCTGTTCCCTATGCTGTACTTTACATCCCCGTGACTATTTTATAAGTACTTTGTAATCCCTTCATAACTATTTCATAATTTAATGAAAATGAAATGATAGTACATAGGAGTTTTGCCAAGGGGAAAGTATAACTTAGCTGTAACTGATCATCATTGCTAATCTTGAACTTATTAAATTATCTGATAAAATAAGGACCAATTAGGTATATATCACCTGAAAACTCAGGAATTGTGTGTGATTTCAACTCCCTGATTTTTAAAAATTGTATTTTCTTACCCAAAGGACCCTGATGCAGTCTGTGGTGGAATTGCTTTTAAACTAGTCTTCGTAGTCTAACAGATGTGCTTTAAGGGTCCACTGGTGTTCCTTACATAACCTGAAAAGAAGGCAATTTCAGAATGACAAGCAGTGTTTAAAACACCTATAGAATTTTTAATAATGGAAGTGTCTACATAGTATTAGGAAAAATACTGGAAGGAAATAAAATGGTAACAGTTGTCTTTTGCTAATACAGTTGTGGGTAATTTCTTCCTTATGCTTCTTCAAATTGCAGTTTGCATATAGTCAGAATTAAAAATATGCTATGTAAAATGTTTTTGATAGATTTTTTTTCTCAACCAGCCTAAGTAGAATGCATGTTATATGCAGAGTGGAGCAAAAGTAGGTTTACAGTTGTTTGTATGGAAAATAATAAAATAATTAGTAAATTATAATACAAGAATAAAGTCTGTTTGGCGCACTCAAAATTGTAAGCCTACTTTTGTCTTAGCCTATAGATGTAGAGGTAGAATGTTGCTTCGGGGTTTTTTTTGGTTTGTTTGTTTTATCTTTCAGACATCATTTTGAAATAGAGATCACCTTCATTTCAATTAATGCCATACATAGTATTCCTCAGGTTTTCTGCTGACAGAGTGATTTTTCTTTTTATTTGGCTCAGTAAAACTTACTATTGGTCTGAAAACTTATCAGCCTTTCAAAACAGCAGAGATGTTTTTTGACCAATCTCATATCATTAACCTATTTATTCACATCTGTTTTACTATCGTGGTGTTTTAGATATGGGTTATAGTTGTGTGTTTTTATTTGTAAATTTCATATTACGTTCCTCTTCAAACTTTTTATTTATTGAAACCGTTTTTTTTCCCCCTATAAAATGTACATCTTTGTAAAACACTTAAATTGGTGAAACTTATGCTGATTGCATATTGGCTACTGTAATACATTTACTTAATAGAAAAGCGAGGGTCGCCTATGAATGATTTATGACTCTGGTTTACATTATGATTGTAGGAATTTGTGTCATCTCATCTCAGGAGCTCAGCTTCCTCATTTGTATCATGGAAGGCTTGCCTATCTTTGGGGTTAGAATATTATTTGAATGTGGAGTGAATTTTAAAATCCATTAAGAACTGACTTGTTTATTAATATTAATGTGAAATATTTGTGAAGATACAAATTTTTGCTTGCTAATTTAATAAACCTATAAAACAAATCAGATTCTTTTATAAAAAGATTTCAGTTCCACAATGGTATTTGGAACTAATGTGTGTGGGGGAATTATATAGTGTCAAGTAATGCTTTTATTTCCTTGCGATTCAGGGAAATATTTTTGAACAATATTTGTAAATTGTCTAAATTGAAGAGCACATCTCCCTTTGCAAAGAACATTTGTAATTATTTTTGGTATTAACATTAAGTTAATTTAGAATTTTCCATTGTCTTTCTTGGTGTGATAAAACATTAAGATTCTTTATGTAGTTTTGTTCAGAGGCAAAAATCAAAGCATCTTTTTTCTGCTATATTTCTGATTAATTTTGCACAGTGGATAGTAGAAATATAGCACATATTCCACATATGCTAATGATCAGATTAAAATCCTCATTTTTTTTAAACTTATAAATGAAAAATTAATTGTAAAATTGCAGGTTATAGATGAATATCAAAAATCTTAAAATAGTGAAATTTGTATAAATGAAAGTACCAGTACTAGAAATAAAATGACAAATAAATTAATTTCCAGAAAGCATAATGGTA